AAAATAACTCTCTTTGAACTGAAACCTATCCCTTATCTTATAGATTGCGGATAAAATAACTCTCTTTGAACTGAAACCTATCCCTTATCTTATAGATTGTGGATAAAATAACTCTCTTTGAACTGAAACCTATCTCTTATCTTATAGATTGCGGATAAAATAACTCTCTTTGAACTGAAACCTATCTCTTATCTTATAGATTGCGGATAAAATAACTCTCTTTGAACTGAAACCTATTTCTTATCTTATAGATTGCAGATAAAATAACTCTCTTTGAACTGAAACCTTTACCTTATCTTATAGATTGCAGACAAAATAACTCTCTTTGAACTGAAACCTATCCCTTATCTTATAGATTGCGGATAAAATAACTCTTCTTGGATCTGGAACAGACCACGCTCCTTTTAGGAATATACAAATCTTCTAAATTTTTTCCTTTTTTACAGAGTTTATCATTTATGAATGTTGTCCAATTGTAAAATTGGTCCATTTCTAATTCAATCTTAAACTGGCAGTTCAATTGATTTAATTCTCAAATTCTAAATCGACAACTTTAAAAACTGAATGGAGATTTATGTATGTTTTATTACAAAAAGCATATAAGCTATTTGAATTATGAATATTGATAAAATTAGAGTTAATTTTCCTAGAATAAGTTGATATGTACTACATGTTAATGAAGCCAAACAAAGTAACAAAAAAAAACATATCAACATACTGTATATATGTGTTTATATGAAAGAAATTTTATTTAACAACGAAACAATAATTTTTGAAAAGTTTAAATGGGTTCGATCTAATTGTAAACCTATCTGTAAAACCTAGCATAGTAAATACACAGGTTATATACCTGTGCATTTCTCCAACTACTTCAACTACTTAGTTTACTATCTTTTTATTCCAAACAATTATTATTCCAAGAGGACTTATATAATCCGTTCACTGTGCAGTTTTTTTGCCGGAATTCCTGGACAAATGATTTCGTTTGGAACTGAAGGAAATCAGGATTCTACAGAATATCATTTTTAAACATTAAATATTTCATATTTAAAGTGATTATTCAGATATTTCAGTCAATGATCGGGTCCTAATTGTTTTTAATGCTCGTTTAATACATTTTTAAGAAAACTTTTTAAAAATTAAAACATTTCTTTTGAGTCCCAGCAGGAAAATAAACTCTAAAGAATGCATATTTGATATGAATGAATTAAAACGCTTCAGCAAAAGTTGATTATTGTTCTAACTGAATCTTGAAAAAGGTAAACATCAACTTTGTAATTTATAAACAAAAGTTAAGGGACTGTTAGTGAAATTTTCAATTGACCCTCCATGCAAAGATTGCAATGCCCCATTCACAACGGTACCCTTGAAAACTTTGTTTGATCAAATATGAATTAGATATCCAAGTTTATAACTTAGAAAACTTATTATTTTCAATTGTGGTTTCTCTACAAAATGACATGCGCATTCTTACTGCAGGAACAAAATATAGGAATTATTGGAAGTAAACCTAGAAAAACGACAATATTTCCCCCATTATTGATCAGGTTTTCAGGGTATCATTATGACTTGGGATTTGTCATCTTTGCATGAAGGGTCACTTGAAATCACGCTTACAGTCCCTTTCATGGTAAATGATCTAAAAAAGATATGTTACATGTTTACATAAGAATAAAAACCAATCACAGCAGATAAAATATATTTTGAAATGGGGCTGTTGAAGTAACTGCAAGTGACCAGCTGTATTTAGAGGGACTGTAAAGGAAATATGAAAGGGGGTAGGCTGATACCTGAGAATCTCAGGCGATGAACGATACCGGTAAGACATCTATCTGATGTTCCGGTCTCTAGAAATTGACATAAAACGTGTCAAAATTATACCAAAACGTATATGTGTTAGATATACGTCCATATCACGTGACCAGAACTCCCTCTGAATGACATTCCAGTATACTGGTGACATGATACAGACAGAGACACGTGACAATAATACTGCACTGCCATTGGTTGGAGTTCTGGTGACATGTTCCGGATGCATAACTAATATTATCAATTATATCTATTAAAAATGAATGATTATTAAATTCAAATAATAATAGGAGTAAACTTTAGTTTCTCAGGCTTTTCTGGGATATCGTTGTTTTCAGATATGTTGCGTATTTGTTAAATATGGTCTGTTTAATACTATGATTCTTATACAAAATCTTATATATACGTTTTGGTATAATTTTGACACAGTTTTATATCAATTTCTCGAGACAGGAACATCAGATACTCTCAGGTTTCATCCTATACCCTCTTTCATTTTTCCTTTACACTGGTGCCCTTTAAATATATGTCTGAGTAACAATGAGTAAGATATTGATTTCTTGAATTGAAATAAATTTTGCCGCAATTGAAAATATTAATTGTCGAATAGAAACCAAGATATCAATTCAAGGGTACCCAATGTGAAAAAAGTCATGCGACTTTTAAAAAGGTGGGTCACCTGAAGTTAGATAAACAGTTGCTTTTTCAGGATTTCCAACATATCACACTGGGTTTGAAACTTGGAGAATTGTAACTGAAATCGTAGATCCTGAGTTTAAAATTATCAGGTGAAATTAAAATCAAAAGATTTTATTTAAAAGAACTGATTCCCATTAATACCCTTCAAACTGATCATGGAGGACAGAGAACTCAGTGTATATATCTCTTAAATACTGTGAAAAAAGTTGTAAAATGGGAGTGTACACTTGCGTACTGTGTGAACTCAACCTGGGTGACTTAACATTTACTCCTAAAAAATCCAGAATATTCTCCAAAATTTCGAATGTATCTAAATAAGGGTAACTTGAAATTACGTTTACAGTCTCTTTAAGTGTAATGTGCCAATGGTTTTTAAGTTTCTCTTGAACAGTTAAGCTTGATTGCATGCCATCAACAGCATTTGTAGTTTTTATATTAGTATCAAATAATTACAATAACTTCTGATTTGATTTAACAACATCATATTCAAAATGGCGCATGTTTCATCAATCAGCTGATATCGTCAAGTGTACTGTACTGTAGATCCTGTTCCCAGCTACTCCTCCACCAAGCTATGAACCTGGCAGATTCTCCAGTTCTACCCCTTAGTCCGGAGTTTATTGGAGTTGAGCTCCTCAACTCCTTGGAGAAGTTGGAGCAAAATAATATAACACAGGTCTGCAGTAAATACAGTTGTTGTTATACAATGAAAACAACTTTCAATGTTCATATTGATTCGTAACAAGCTTGAAAACGGAGAAAAACTTTCGATGAACAGCTTCTCTTTATTTACGTGAAAGTTTATGATTGTTAGTATATAATGTTAACATTAACATTAACATTGACTTTAAACAATTCATTATAGTACATAATGTTAACATATACATTAACAATAACATTAACCTGTAATATTTATACGTTAATATTAATTAACATTAACATTTGTATTTTAATATTAACATTAATTAAATTAATAAATAACATCAATGGTACGGTCTCATATAGGGCCTCTAATGAAACTAGACAGAAAAGTCGTCCATATTGTTTTGATATAAATGCCGACAACAAAACCATTGAAATTTTATATTCAAATTACACACTTCTCTTCTTATATTTGCAAAAGTCAAACTAACTTTATCTTTTGAATTGATTCGAAAAAGTTCTTGAAAAGAATGCATTTTAGAATCTGGAAAAACTGGGTGCTTTAAAAGAGTATACAGCTATGGTAAAGAAAATGAATGAATTTATTAAAGAATGTAAATCCTTCTCTGCATATGCAGAACAAATGGAGTTGAATCCGACTGGAGAACAAAGGTAAGGGTAAAGAATGACTGTAAGATGCTGGAAGGGTAAAGGCGAGGTCATGAATTTAGGTCATAAAGGTGAAGAGCATGGTCACAAAGGTATAGGAGAGGTCACAAAGCAAATTCATGAAGCTAAAGGGTAAGGTCATGACTCATGAGTGCTACAGAAAGTAAAGGCAAAGTCACAATGAAAAGGGCAAGGTCCTGAAGCCTAAAAGTGTGGTCATGAGTGCCACAGAAGGTATTGGGAAGGTCACACATGTTAAAGATAAAGTCGCAAAGGGCAAAGGGAAAGGTCACAATAAAATGATAAAGAATAAGAAACAATGAATAAACTATAATTTGGTAAATGAAGTGTAGGAGTGTTTGCTACTTTAATATATCTCTATAGTGTACCGGAGTTGAATGATAAGCTGGTGATGCTTGAGAGAATATTTATTCTACCAAAGGGTCTACCATTCCGTCCCTTCAATAGACATGCGCTCTTCTCTCCTGCAGCTAATAATCTTTACGGTAAGCTCAGAGCTGGCAACTGTTGACTGTATTGAATAAGTTGAACTTATCTTCTCTTTTATGGGTCAAATTGGAAGTTGAACCAACCAAAGAATGATTAGATTTTACTATGATAAAAATGATTTTTGAGAAAACATTCTATACATTTTTTTGTCCAAACCTCTGGGTTATACCGTAGATTGGAATAACATCCACTGAAAAAAGTTCGAAAATGTTAGTAGCAATTTTTTTCAGGTTCCTCGTCATTTCCTGGCATTAATGACTTGATGAATGGTATACATCAGCTCAACACTACAGAGAGAAAGGAACTAAAGAGAATACTTAAAATATAAAAAAATAAAAGTAATTTGTGCTTAACCACAAAAGATTAGACTTTAATGTCGACCTGAACTCTTTCAACATAATGATTTATTTTCACAGAACTCCAAAATCAACCTGAAAATGATATTTTTCAGTAAATTTTCATCAATTTTGAAAATGACTGCAAATACTAAAAAAAAACTAAGGTCAAAACTTTTGTATATAATTTAGTCAGTTCTCCTCTCCCAGGGCGATTTCATTTAAGTAGAGAGCCATTTCTTCATTATCTCTTGACAGATTTCCTGCATTGAATTTAAATCCGTTTAAAGTTAAAGAATTAGAAAGGATTTAAATCGATGATTTAAATTTGAGCCCGGGCCCCGGGGCAGGCAGTAATCCCCCATTTAATGAAATTCTGTACCTGGACATTAATACTGAATAATATTCAATTCACTCTGGGCCGTAGTAAATTTGAATTCGAACAGGACCTACCCAGTTTGTACTGGCCTGCCAGATAACAGCGTGTACTGACCCGATCCTATGGTCGCCCTAACCAGACTAACATACGACAGGGTTCAATTTTCTTGGCATAGTCCCGTGAGAGGGCTAACTATGACAACTCCCATGGCGCGTTCAGACTTTTTACAGTACCCGGCCTAATCCTTGGCCTATTTGACCGAGCCCATTGGCTAAGTCCACCGTGAAATAATAATTAAGTTTTCTCTGATGTAGACCCGTATTGATGAACTACGACAACATCTATCTGATTTAATGATAATCTTCCATCAAGCTAGAAAATGGATTTCTTCAGATATATTTTAAAATTTGAATTTTTCTTAATTTATAATTGTTTTGTAATATTTAAACTAATAAAAATAACAGATATGTACAGTACACTATACATGTACAGTGAGCCTTAACTTAAGAACCTATATTTAACCATTAAATGTAGAGTTTTTGTACGGTTAAACCCTAAATATTTAATACATCAAAAGAATTTATGAACTGTCGTCTTTACAATTTTTCAGAATTAGTTTTTTTAATTCTTAAATAACGACAACGAAAAAAAAAGTAAAAATTATACAGTAATCTAATTAGATGATTAGGAACATATTTCTCAAAAGAAATTTGTCAATAAATCAATGCTATAATCGATTATTTCGTTTTCATTATTATATTGAATTTCTTATTTTCTTTATTTACAGATTTCTTCAAATTCTTCAAATGTCGTTTTTTCTATAATAATTCTAGAAAATCTGCAGAAAATCTTTGTGAATAATAAGAAACCAGAATAATGAGAAAATAGGAATAATTGACCAAGATTACTTATTTTTGATGATAAGATTAATTTTTATTTTCTCAACATGTTCCTATACATGACGTGTAGTTTATTGCAGATCTTTTTTACATTTTATGGCGTCGTTATTTAATAATTTAAAAAAACTAATTCTAAAAACGTATCCACTCCCAAAGTAGGGGATTTGAACGTTGAATTTGCGCTCAAACTCATGATTTACAGATCTTTAAAAAGTTTAATATTTCTCAAATGAATCCGAAAGGAGTTTTCCACAACACTGCATGCTCAGTTCAACTACCCTACATAGCCGGTTACTCCCTTTTTAAGAATGCTGTAAATTTCATGTGCCCCTAATCTTAATGTTCAACATCTGAACTTATAATTAATAATAGAGGACTTCCTCGAGGGAAGACGAATTGCCTGAAACAAATCTACATGTAACAGGATCTTCTATAAGTATTTATAGGATTAAATAAAATTGTCATTTGCTCATTCTTTAGAAATATTAATCTTAATTGATTTGGAATTCTTATTCATGATTGCAACTAAACTTTTATTATTTGATGAAAAAATGCCAAAACAAAAGATTTATTTATAGAAAATAAGTTTGTTGTGAGACCTCTAGCGGCAATATTGAGAACTACTAAACCTTTCTCATCAAATACATCGTACAGAGAAAGTAGAGATGTCTGAATATATATATATATATTTTATCAAACAAATATCTCAGAGTCAGATTACATATATAAATAATTATTTTGAAAAGTAAAGATCCAAAATCTCAAGTATACAGCATATGGTTCTCGATACAGAATTTAAGGCTATGACTACCTTAAAAACTCTCTCTGTAAAATTATTGATAACTAGATTCAATTTTTCACTATAAATTATACAGGGGGAGATGGTATACAAGAAATAATGAGGATAACGGAGGAGTCGAGGGAAGGGGGAAGAGGGCCGGGGAAGGGAGGTCATAAACTTTTAAAAATGTGCTTAATTTTTCCTGTTCTGTAAGCTGCTCCATTTCATCAATTTTTCGATTGCAGAATGTTTCCCGGATTTTCTAATTTGATTTTTACATTCTACAAAACTTATCAAAAATAATCTTCTTTTCCTCTGGATCTGAAATAAAAGAAATTAAAAAGAAATAATTGTAACTAAAATATTTGTAATTAATGTTTGACTGATGTGGATTTCGCTGGGTACGTGCTCCAATCCATGATAAATAAGGGGTTTACGCCCAATCTCTAAAAACAGACCAAATTAATTAATTTATTCGTAAAACCTTTGCTATAACTTCACCCTAAATACAATTTTTTACTTATGTGATTAAAAGTCAAAAGGTTAACGACCTTACAATAATTCTTTATTTCTTTATCTTGATTTAATGAAACATAACTTTTAACATAGAATAACAAATACACTTTTAGTTATTTACCACAAATGTCAAAATATTTTAAATTAATTTGTCACAGGAACTGAGATGTAGAGAACTCTAGCGAAGAAAATGTGAACTAAACAATTCGATCATCAAACACAGCACACAGAAAAAGTAGAGTGATACCTGCACATATATATATATATATATTTAAATAGATATGTACATCTGACCTCGCTCCATGCACATGACTAGAACTCAATCATGCCTGTAGGTCGGATTAAAAAAATTAAATGTGTAACCGACCTACAGCTGTCGTAGGTCGGATATAGCAATAGGTCAGAAAATTAGTAGGTCGGAAGTTCAGTATAGAGGATGTTGCGTATAGACGATGCAACATTACCGGTAGTCATACAATTCTAGCTTCTGAACCTAACTACGTCATAACCTGGTACAGGGCACAAAGTGGACACTGGTCCTAGAACTGTCTTGGGATAAGATCTGTTGTATGCGAGTATACGCATAATTGTGATTGGCATTTCTTTGGTGGTCTGAGAATTCTCCACCAATAGTTTTAATCAGTGACGTCAGAGGGTACGGCTCTTCCCCCCGTACCGTATCGACCTTTCATTCGTGCAAGAGCCTCGTTGCGATACCCTATTCCAGTACCCATGATGTAGGTAATTGTCAATACTTTGACACTTTTCAAGTCAGGAACACGAGAATTGTGTTCAGGCAGTGTGAATCGAACTTGAAATCAGTCTCTGAAATAAACCCATGACATAATTAATAGTTGAGATTTCGGCCTCTTAGATTTACTAAGAACTCAAAAAGCGGATTATTTTGATTTCACTTTTTTAGGGATTGTACCAACCTGTTGTCTTTGCTGTGAACTGTTCACAATTCAGTTCCATTTAATCTACTTGCAGTGCAATTAGCACTCCAAAAATGGTCAAGTCCTTGCACAAGTTTTAACATTTAAAAAAGGAATTGATGCCCGATCCTTTTGCTATTCTAATAAACAAGAAATATTTATACATCAAAAACATAAATGTCGAAACTTAAAGTAAAACGTTTAACTAGAAAAAGAAATAACTAAAAAACACGTTTACAAATTGGTTTAAGTATTGTAGGCGCAAAAATTATTAAAATTTTGTTTCTTACTGAACATTGTTTAAATAATTACAGAGAAATATAATTTCTTCTTGAAAAAAACCCTGAAGCAAACAGCTAAATTATGAAAAGAGTTAAAGAAATTGTTTAGTCTCTGAACTATCATTTTCTAACAGAGCAACTATTTTACACGGGAATGATTTTTAATAATTTTTATGTTTATAATAACAAACTACAAACATGTTAAACATAGTTTTAATTAATTACATGACAACAACATTAACAACCTGTTTTAATATGAAAAGTTAGTAATTAATATAAACAAAACAAGTAGCAATAATAAAACTACTGGTTGGGAAGATGAATAACTATTGTGGCAAAATCAATACTGTAAAAAAACTTTTGTACATTCAGATAAAATATCACTTAAAAATTTAGATCAAGATTAAATAAACATACAGTTAAACCCTAAATAAGCCATACATCGAAAGAATTCATCAAATGTTGTACTCTTCACTTTCTGATAATGGAATGTTGCAGATATTTAGTTTTTTAATTAAATGATTATATGGAACTCTTTAAAACTGTTCCCGCATATTCATGGCTTTATCTATTTTAGCAATTTACGTAAAATTGTATAAAACCCATTGAAAAATTGTCAAAACGACAATTGATAAATTCTTTCAATGTATGGCTCACTTAGGGTTTTACTGTATAAAAGGCCCGAAAAGTTGGATTTATGAATTTGAAGTCGGATTGATGGCAAACTAGTTTTACTTAATATTTGAAGAAACAAAAAATCCAATGCTGAATTTAATGCCACCACCTGCCTGTCAAACGTGATAAAAAGAAAAGCTCTTCTTCATATTGTGCGATTTTTATGGATTTAATTTGCCTTAAAGTTTATGAACCTTAAATGTTAAAAATGAGTTTTGAACTAAAGGTTAATAATTACCAAGTACATTAAATAGATTGATAACACAATTAGAATTTTCAAATTACAAAAAAAATGGACTCCGAACATATTGGTCTTTTATTCAGTCAGTCTCTAGCTAAGCCGAATTTTAAGCACTGCTGTTAAGGCGTTAATAATTAATTAACAATAATTACTTTTACAAGTCAAGTGTGATTTTCATGAAGTTGGTAGAATACTCGTTTGAATCTCTGAAATCTATCCTCTAAGTCTCCAAAGGAGGGTTTGTAGAAGGAAAATGGAAATTATGATTTATGCTAGAGGTTAAAATCACATCAGACTTTGGATTCAGATTCTAGGTCTCTACTATCTAGCAGGGGAAACTGATACTGTATTCTTGTCCTCATTAAATACCGTCCTCTCTCCAGGACTAATATTAGGACTCTTGTCCTCATCATTGTCTTGTCCTTGTTTAATATGTTGTCCTAAAAACAGTATCAATTGTAAAAACTGTAATAGGAAATGTTAAAATGAAAAAGTTTGGGGTTAACATGTTGTTTTTATATTTGTATATGTTTATGCCTTAGAATAAATGAATAAAATGGCGAATGGACAGGGTTATGCCAAAAGAATAAGACTTTCAAGACAACCTGAAACTTTTTAATATAATGATCTAAAGGTTAAATTTAGTCTAAAATTAAATTTGATCCTAAATGAAATCTTTGATTGTGATATTTTTTGACAACGAAAAAAATGTTTAGCTGCAAAACTATGGAATGTAGGATAAACAGACTACATAGATTCAGTACAGTCTTCTCTCAAGTCTCATTCTATGTGGATAACATTGTAATAAATAAATATTTTGTTGCTTCAGTGCTTAGGATCCGCAAAACTTGGGCTACAAAACAACAACAACAAAATCTTTGGCTCTTAAAGCCTAAATAAATAAATAAATTTAAAAAAGCGAAAAAAAGAGGAAACTAATTTCAAAATTCTTCTTCTGTTATAAAAAATCAGTGAGTCTTGGAGAAATGTTCATGACCAAGATCCAGATCCATATTCATAGAGAATAGAATATATAGAGAGGAATTTACTGGAAAAAAGTGTAAAACGGCCATTTTGTTGTGCTGTTTCCATACTGCAGAGCCCAAAACTTAAGACAGGGTATCGTTAAGAAAACCAGTTTTAAAACCCGGGTTTCAGGAATGGGGTTACACAGTTTTGTGAATATCAATATTTTTGTTATGAAATATAATTTTTTTCAGTTTGGTTATATTTTCCATTTTTTTCGAATTTCTTAAATCAAAATCTACATGAATGTTAAGACCCCAAAAAGGAAACTCCCGAGTTTTGTTTAACGATACTCTTTTAAATTTCGGGCTCAGGTGTACTTCACATATTTATGCTATATAACCTGTTGGGCCCTGGAATATCATTTTATAGAAAATCTAAAATTATTGTTAATTTAACATTTTGTAGATTTTGATTTAAGAGATTCGACAAAAATGGAGAATATGAAGAAACTAAATAAAAAAATATTTAAAACATAAATATAGATATCCACCAAACTGCCTAACCCCGTTTGTGAAACCCGGGTTTCAAAACTGGTTTTCATATCGATACCCTGTCTTAAGTTTTGGGCTCAGGGAACATACTGTATTAATGTACTCTACTGCATATAATTTGTGAACATTTACATGATTTGTACACTTTGAACTCCCTTTCAGGCTGAAAGGGACTGAAAAAATTCATACCGAGAGATTCTTTTAATTCTCTATATATATCCTATTCTCTATGTCCATATTTTTTCAGTACGGATCCGCCTCAAAATCCAATGGATCCTTTAGCACTGCTGTATTTAATATTAGTTATGTAAAAGCATTAAAATATACATTTTACCTGAATTATGAAAACTATTTTGAGATAAATGATTGTGAATAGTTTGGTCTGAATCTGTACTCTCTGTACTCTGAGATCTTAAGGCAGGTGTACTTCTTGTACTTTGTGTACTCTTTGACTGGCTGCTAGTTGTACTGATTGACCTTTCACGTTGAAGGGAATGGGTAGATTCAGGGGTCACAGATCTAAAATAAGAGAACTGAGTTCTTGCCACAAACTCTGATTTTCTAATTCCAATTTCGTAGACGTTTTTGATATTTACAAACTATGAGCTCTATTGGATCAAATAATTAATCTAAGCTTGAAATATCAGAGGTATACACCATCAGTATACCTCCATACACCATACAATTTATTTTTTTCAATTTAATTTTTAACAAAACTTTAAGAAGAGCAGTGAATTTTTCTCTGATTTGTATCTTCTTTTCAGCAGATATGCAGTTCTCAGTTTTACCAGGAATGTTTGACAAAACTGAATGAAGGTTCAGGTTCAAGCATAAATTCAATATTCTTACAGGTTGGAAAAAAAATTCACTACACTAAAGCGGGATTTGAAAATTCTGAGGATATTCTTTGTCAGAATTCCGCCTTAATAATGACAAATGAGATAAATCAGACACAGTGCTTCAGAATATGGCCTCGTCCACATCAATCTTTTCCTTGTAGCCGGTAGAGTATAAACTGGTATCATAGTGCATGGTGCACACCCATCAGGATTCTAATCTAAGGTTTACAGAATTCCCGTCTTTATCCAGGGTTTACAGGTTGAAAGATATGGGGATTAGAAAATCAGAGTTGGTGGCAATTTTGAGGAAAATAATCTGAAAAATCTTTATGACTTTATAAGCGATTCAAATCGTTTGATCGTTTGAAATTATTGAAATTTTGTTGTAACAAAAAAACTTTTTATGTGTACAAAGATTAAAAAACCAATCCTTATAAGAAAGATAAAAAATAAGATGAATTTGTCCAGATATTTAACAAATAGTGGAATACACAGTGCATTTTTATTTCTTAGAAACAATATCTTGCACAATGCTGAAAATGGACCTTCAGGTTTCAACTCAAAACACCTAAATTTTTTCTTTGGAATATATTAATATTCTGAGTTATAATCACAATTTTCAGAAAATGCCACCTAGGGAATTTTAAGTAAATCCATTTAAAAGAAATTGTAGAAATCAAACATAACTGTAGATTTAAAGATTTATCAAGCTTAGTGATTTTTTGCGATATTTTTAGAACCGTTTGTGTATTTTCCTTAACAGTCATAAGACATGTTTTAGCAAAAAATCAAAGCCTTAAGTGAACTGTATAATTGCCAAATTAATGCCTAAAAAAGTCTTTTTGAAGTAAAACCAGTATAATTATATCAAAAAGACTTTTTCGGGCCGTATTTTGGCATTCAGGCAGGTTTGATTTTTCTCTAGGATATGTTTAATGACTGTTACAGAATATCGTCAGAAAACCCAGGAGAAGCAGATTAAATCTTGAAACGAAATTTTTGTTTAACTTTAGACCTGTGAATACCAAAATTACAACTACCAAATATATAATTAGCTATAAATGTAACCATGTTTTGACCAAAAACATAACTACCAAAATTATAACTACCAAAAATATAACTTCTAAAAATGTAACTTCCAAAATTATAACTTGATTTTTACAATTTCTTAAAAATCAATTTGCTCAAAATTCCCCTAGGTGGCATTTTATGAGAATTGTGATTATAACTCAGAAGACTGCATATAAATATATTCCAAAGAAAAAGTTTAGGTGTTTTGACTTGAAACCTGATGGTCCATTTTCAGCAGAGTGCTTGTCTTTAAAGATTTACAAAATCAGCAAAAAAAAACGCATGGAAAGATTATTCAATTTCTCATTGGTCATTGGAGTTTTGACCAATAAGAGATCGGATAATCTTTAAGCAATAGAAGAGCGTGATTCTACTGTAAAAGCCAGAAAACTCTGGAACAGGAAGCCGACTTTTAGACTCAACTTATGACTTTAAACAGTCCACTGAACATGAGACAAAGCAATGGTAGAGTGTAAAAAGACCCAATTCACTTAAGAAGTGATCTAATAACTTGCTAGTAAAGCTATTTGCGTTGTAACAACATCAAATACATTTATTCTAAACATGTGCTTTTCTTTCATCATGCTAAATTTTTACCCTGAAAGAAAATATAGACAAAAAAAACCATAAGACCAAAATATGATCAAAAAAGAACATATAAAAGATGTGAGATTAAAAAAATGAAAACAATGTTCCAAAATCATTCCTAAATCACTGTAACTAGGAATGATTTGATGGATTTAGTTTACCTTGAAAAAACTGAACTTTCTCTGGAACAACTTCTAGAGGATCTAGAGGAGTAGGAGGACCTTGAGTGGATGAAGGAGGAGGACGTGGAGTGGGTATAGGAGGAGGACCTGGAGGTGCTGGACCTCCTCCCCTCATGTCAGGAGAACCGCTCTAATCTTCTCCTCCTCAACTCATCTAGTCCCTCATCACTAGATTAATATATATAATAATAATAATAATAATAAAACAATCGACCATAAACATTTAATATGACTAGGCATTCAAGGCGCTTCTCGACCCTTTTCTAGTAGCAATTTTAGCTGTTGATCTTAAGCTGCCATCTTTTTTTAAAAAATCGTATTTTGCAGTTTTATTATTATTTAAATTTGCGCATTTTCAAACATAATGCTGGTCGACATTTTTATCCAGGCAAATTTTTTATCTTTAACCATCCATAAACCTTCCTTGAGGTTTTAGGCTTGATCGGTTCAGCCGTTTTGACGTTTATTGAGTACAGACAAGAAGACGAACAAGCCAAATTTAGACTAATGCCAAATTGTAAGCATGAGAGAAGATAAAAGAAAAAATGAACCGATTAAAAAAAAACGTTTTTGAAAGTAATTAATTTTTTAATTAATTTATTAATTTATTTAATACTATTACGTAAACGTTAGCTTTCTTTTTTATTTTGTTCTCTAAAGATTAAGTTTTTGCATAGTTTAAACCAGCAAGCATTAACACTTTTAAATGTTGGTTGGAACCTTCACAGGTTCTTGTGTTACCTTAAAAAGTCGGAAACAAAATTGTAAAGCCGAACCAAGCTATTGCCCATCACAAGTAATCACCTGCGTAGAATGAATCCCCGCCCAGTGGGTGGAGGACCAGGGTTGTCTGGGTATAGAGGTGGGCGTGTTCCAACCAGGTCCTCGTAGCGTGGAGCACTGGGGGCAGGGCCCTCCTCCCATTCACTACCTTCATTCTAAAATAATTTTTTTTTTAAATTATGGTTTTTGAATTTTTTAAGGAAAAGGCCTAAAGATATAAAAATATACAATATATCAACCAAGCAATTTCAAAACAGATCTTTTTGCACTCGAAAACAAAACAAAATACTATCCACGAATAGAGTTTCCAGGGAAAAGGGTAAATCGCTTCGCGAAAATTTCGCATTTTTCGCATTTGTTTTGTTCGCAAAAATTCAAACATTTTCGCTTTTTTCGCGAAATTTCGATTTAATCTGTTTCGCGCAAAAATGCGAAACAGAATACGGAAGAGAAATTAATTAATTATGATATAAAAAAACCTCTAATGCTAAGAGCAGAGAATTCCACAATTTATTTGTTCAATTAATTGTTGCAGCTATGGTTTTCGCGGAATTTTTTTCTCGCGAAATCAACTTTGCATTTTTTCGCTTAATTCATTTTCGCGAAAAAAAGCGAAAAGGAAGAAAGCAAATTTTAGATTTATTTACAAAATCAGTGAATCTTAAAGAAATGTTCATGCCCTGGACCCGCATCAAAGTGAAATAGAAAAGGATGATTAAATTTAACCTGGAAATATGAATAATTGTAGGATTCTGTATTTTCTTGGATATTGTCATATCCAGCTGTATATCCTGTATATCCGGTATGACCTTGAAAATAAAACAGTTTTAAAGATTTAAAATAATAACTTATTTATTTAAATGTTGGGATCATTCAAATATCTGCAATTATTGATTAAACTGCAAATGTGATAAAAACCTAATTTAATTCTATTTACATGCTACTCTCTACCAAATTAAATTTATTTCAAATATAGATAAATAAAATCATTATTATTATTATATTAAAATGTTGTTTTGAATGATTTTAAAGGGTATGAATGACGACTTGACATTAAATAAAGATCTGAAAAATTAAAAAAGTCTTGAAATTGTGTAAACTTAATGATTTGGCTAAAAGAAACAAGTATATGTTTAATGTATATAGGTAGAAATATAAAGATAATTTTGTATTGAGCGGACTATAGACTTTAGACTATAAACAATCAAATATTCTGTTCTTTTGCAATTGAGCACATGGACACTAAGCTATAAGAAATATCAACAGTATATGAGAAATAAAAATAAACAAAATAGAAAATATTTACAGACATTCACAGAAAGATAAATAGATAGATATAGATAGATAGACCTACCTGGAGTAAAGTGAGTTCCCTGAGTGTATCCCCAACTAGATAGATCTACCTGGAGTATAGCGAGTTCCCTGAGTATATCCCAACTAGATAGATCTACCTGGAGTATAGTGAGTTCCCTAAGTGTATCCCCAACTAGATAGATCTACCTGGAGTATAGTGAGTTCCCTGAGTATATCCCCAACTAGATAGATCTACCTGTAGTATAGTGAGTTCCCTGAGTATATCCCCAACTAGATAGATCTACCTGGAGTATAGTGAGTTCCCTGAGTCTATCCCCAACTAGATAGATCTACCTGGAGTATAGCGAGTTCCCTGAGTGTATCTCCAACTAGATAGATCTACCTGGAGTATCGTGAGTTCCCTGAGTGTATCTCCAACTAGATAGATCTACCTGGAGTATAGTGAGTTCCCTGAGTATATCCCCAACTAGATAAATCTACCTGGAGTATCGTGAGTTCCCTGAGTGTATCTCCAACTAGATAGATCTACCTGGAGTATTGTGAGTTCCCTGAGTATATCCCCAACTAGATAGATCTACCTGGAGTATAGTGAGTTCCCTGAGTGTATCCCCAACTAGATAGATCTACCTGGAGTAT